TGCACTTAAATAACCGAAAAAACTAAGTGTGGAATGTTGAACACTTCATGCACTCAACTGTCGCAGCTTTAATTATGTAGTGAAGGGGGAGGGGCTATTAGACTCCATTTATGAATGACCAAATAACCTTATATAATTCATACACTACATGGTTGAGTACATAGTGCATAAGTGCATAGTGTATAGTGCGTCATTTGGGACGCAGCTAGTAGCTCATACATCATGCGCAGATCGCGCGCACACAGAATCATTCAGCACGGAAATGTATGGTCAACACTGTTCTATGATTTCTCAATAAAATTGCTTTGAAACTGAAAAGTTAAAGCATATATTTCTTAACTAAATTCCACAGCTTCACTACTAGTAGAGAGACGCTGCCAGGTAGAATTAATTCAGACACGAAATCTCTCTCACAAATGCATTCATATGAATGTAATCTTTACTGTGCTGCTTTATCTGTATCTGATTTAGAACGAGCAGAAATCTGTGAGAAACATAACGACTCAAAGTCAAAAGAACTGTTAAAAATGAGCTGTTATAGGAGCAATAGCCATGTGGGCAGCGCTGTGTCATATGCCATAGCTGTGCACAAGGTGTTTGTCACAGCTCCAGACTTATTTGTTCATTAATGACGTCATCAGCGACTAGTCGACTTCGACTCGACTTTCATCACATAAAAGTCGACTTTAAATGGATCATGTGACACTGACACCATTTTTGGATCATGTGACACTGAAGACTTGAGTAATGGCTGCTGAAAATTTTGCTTTGCCATCACAATAATAAACTGCATTTTAAAATATATGAAATTAAATAACATTTTAAGGGGGTCATATGATGTTGATAAAAAGAACATTATTTTGTTTATTTGGTGTAATGAAATCTGTTTATGCGGTTTAAGGTTAAAAAAACACATTATTTTCCACATACTGTACATTATTGTTTCTCCTCTATGCCCCGCCTTTCTGAAACGCATCGATTTTTACAAAGCTCATCGGTCTGAAAAGCGAGGTGTGCTCTGATTGGCCAGCTATCCAGTGCGTTGTGATTGGCCAAATACCTCAAGCGTGTGACGGAAATGTTACGCCCCTCACCATATTGTGATGCCCTGTCAGGCCGGAGCGATTATTCAAAAACATTAAAACCCATTATAAACGAGGCATTTGTTGCATCCAGTGGGGACATAAGTACAGATTATAATGACTTATACTGTCTTTTTATGCATTGCATCGCGCCGTGTTAACATAAAACCATGACTGCATTTGTGATTGGAGAAACGACAAACAACAAGTGCTACTCTACACTGCTCAAAACTCGCGTTTGAATCGTCAAACGTTTTAATTCTTTAAATATAAAAACCGTACTTACAATCTGTGAGTCAGAACAGCCGGCATTGTAGTCTACTCTCCCAGGATCAATAAACAGTCCTCCATAAAATGTGCTGCACACATCTCAATATTTGGGTTGAGCTGTTCTGGAACAGTGTTGTAAATACAACTTAACCACTGATTTCTAGTCGTGTCCTCTTTTGGAAGGCCAAACAAAGCAGTTTCGCTTTCACAACGAAACATACGGCGGGCTACAGTGAGCGGAGGCAGGCTTGAGTGAGCGGCGGTGGGCGGGCTTGAGAACTGCGCGGCCAGCGGATTCGACCAAGGAGCGTCCGGCGGGTTGCGGCAACCACATGTGACAACCCCGGGCTGGACTCCACTTTGTCCACGGTGAAAGCCGATCCGGCGATCCACAGCGCGAAGTTGATGTATTTCCTCAGCGACCAGCACGGATCAGCTCCAGGCATGACGAAGCGATATCGTCCTCTTTTGGAAGGCCAAACAAAGTAGTTTCGCTTTCACAACGCCTCCATGACATGGCAGCGACAGCAACAACACTACAGCGAGAATAGAAGCTACGCCTTTTTTCTTTGCGTGAACATTTGGGCGGCGTTATGCAAATCTTCCCACATCATGACGTAGACATGTGGGGGCATGTTAGAACGAGCCATTTTAGGTAGGCGTGGTTGACTCTTAACTTTTATAAAGAATATCTCTTTGGATTTGAGACTTTAGTCTCTGCAACTTTACAGATCTTCTTTATGCACCAAGAGCTTGTAACACTCCAAAGAGAAAGGAAAAATTGAAATCGCATCATATGACCCCTTTAAATTGTGATAATATTTAACTGTTTTTACTGTATTTCTGGTCAAATAAATGCAAGCTTAGTGAACATAAAATATATATTTTTCAAGAACCCCCTTATCAAAACCCAAAACCTTTGAACAGTATTGTATATCTAAAAATATGCAAAAGTGCAATATACAGTTTAATGACCAATAAGAAACATTGAAGGCACACAAATTTTCCTCAATACACCTGCTACTGGCAGTTGTGGCAAAAAGTTAATTTTTGACCATGACAACAAAAATATTCTGAAGAACAGTTGTTTCAGTTTCAGCTTCTTCACCAAGAAATTTAGCAGTAGATGCTTTGTCAAGAATCTTTATGATCAAATGTTAGGCTTTTAGCTATCCCCTTTGTTGAAAATTACACTATTCTTATTACTCTAAAAGGTTAATTGCAATGATATGAATACGTAATATATCACTTTAAAAAACTAACCTGTCTGCAGATCTCTCTGGCACAAGCTTTTTCCACTTGGCCACAAGGTTCTTTGCTGCCTCCCCAGCAAATTCATGTTTGCGCAGGGAATTCACTGTCTTTCCAATGCCTGTTTCCTGCAAGAATCGAAGAAAACAAACATATTAAAAGCTATAGAACCAACTGCATTAATAAAAACTGTTAGACCAACTCAAGAGTAATACTTTAGAACATAAGTATTATTTTAATCTTACCACCAGGATGTCTACTGTTATAGGAAGCTCCCCCAGCTTTTTGAGAGTTTTCAGCAGCTAGACAGAAGGTGAAAAGTGGAAAAAAATATTTATAGCTGGTAAATATTCCATTAACACTCACCATTGGCAGTTGTAGCAAAATGTTAATTTTGGACCATTACCACAATATTGGAAAGAACATATTGTCAAAATTTGATCACACTTTGTGATCAAATTAAGTGGAAAACTGCAATATTTGTTGAAAACTACTTAAGATAATTTACAATGTATTTAACACATATTATCATAAAATGCCTATCACATCATTCTATAAAACTAACCACAAAAAAAGTGTACAATGATACATAAATTATATCCAAATACATATTATACATATAATAGAAATAATAATAGTAGAACAAATAATAGAACAAATACATATAATAGAATATATGCTATAAACTATAGAGACGTAATACACTTAGGAAAAAACTGGCAGTAGTACATCATGCACCAGGGTGTTTACATATTTCAAGGAGTAACTGGCATTGTATAGGTCCAAAAAAGAAAAAACATGGCATGACCGTGGTGCAGTGCCCAAATAACATGGTAGTACTGTAGTATTTTTTGTTTACACAAAGACAACATTGTAAGACTAATGCCAAGTAGCACACTTATTAGTTGGCTAAGTAGTAGACTCACTTTAATGCCAGATTTGGCAAAACAAACATTTAATTGCCCTTTCAAAGTGTCGTCGTGGCCTACACGGGAACATGGGGGGTTGCATTGGCCAGAAAGTTGGGCAGTATCTCAAACCTCGTTGAGCTTCCTATCTAGACAACATTCTGAGGCATGGAATGATGCATTCTGCCCACTAATGCCCTCTACATAGGCAGATCACTAGGTTTTGAGACACAGCCTTAGTGTAATAACCATTCACTATTGAGAAGGAATCGTGTCTTACAGGGAGTAACAGAAATTCTGCTGCATTACTCAAGGCCTGTCTTCATCTGTCACCGCTATCGTATTAAATCGCTGTGGTTGACATTTCTGATAACCGAGCACAAGCTTCTGGGAAAGTGCCTCGATGCTGTTTTTACTGTCGTATCGAGGCATATTTGAGGAGAAAGCTCAATCCAGACTGATCTATTTAAACCGATCGTCCATTTCACGGTCTGCTGCTCTTGTAATTGTTAGACGTGGGATTTCTGGATAGCAGTGCTGATCGAACCTCAGGCTAGACACTCGCAGAAGTGCGTATAACACAGTCATACATGGTGCGAAAAGGGACGACGTAGAGCATTCGCTTCGTCTCACCGAAAAGGTTTCTTACCTTGCGAGGCTCTTGATTCTCTGAGAGCCTTAACTGCAACTTCTCGACTGCTTCCAATATCTCCTCCGCCATGTTTACAGCTGGTACATGGTGCCCGGAAGCCACAACAGCAATGGTGGGGGCCTGCTGTTGTTTCAGACTGCTGCGAACTTCCGTCACTCCAAATGGAGATTGAGATTCCGGAAGAACGTCATTCTGCTGTTATAACGTCATCCTAGTGAGCTCATGATGTATTCATGTATTTATTGTCCAGATTTGATCATTCAGCTTTGTGCTTATTTCAGATATATCCTGCCCAGGAAGGCCAAATTAAGTGGTGAGTTTTTTACTTGCAAACTTTAATTTGCCTATAGCATGTCTAAAAAAAGTGATTTAGAATTATTAAATTATTTAATTAGTTACATTATTCAAATACAAGGACTCCACAACAACATGAGTGAAGTATCTTCTTCGCCAAAGATGTAATCAAATGTTAAAGCATCATCCCTGACGAGAGACTGAAGCTTGTTAAGAAATCAGGAAGGGGGCCAACACTTTTTCACACCACTGTATATATATATATATATATATATACTAATCTGCCATTGAAGAATGCATACTATCTATTGATAATGTCTAGGGCAGTTATAGCCCTAATCTTGTCTTGCCTTTAAGAATAACGCTGCCTCTGTGTGTCCTATCAGGTTGGTGTTAGGAGGACAAGCTGGATATGGACAGTGTTTTTTTGGGGAGGGGTGTATGGCTGTATATGGAGAAGGTTATGTAGGTGGGGTTGAGGACTGGTAGGATTGTGTTGCAGAGCTGTGGTTGGTTCATCTTTTCCACTAACTCCTGCTGCCAACAGAGCTCTGACTGACAGACAGACAGACAGTGAGAGAGACAAGATTACCAAGAAGAGAAAGAAAACAGTGTGAATTCAAGAACTAAGAGAACGAATGAAAGAAGAACAAGGAAGGACAAATAAGAGTGGAAGAGAGCTGTAAAGTAGAGGTAAAACTGACTGTGCTTCTCTTTCTTTTGATGAATGCATAAGGACATAATAATACATTTACATTAAATTAGACACTTACATGTGAATGTTTTAAAAAGCAACAGAACATTGACGTGAATGTTTTAAAAGCAACAGAACTTTGCTTACACTTTTAATGCATGAGTTCAATTCATCATCTCCATGTAATTTAGAACATGGATTTACAACAAGCCTGAATCATAAGACATGCTTACTTCATATAGACATGCTTCAATTTATGTGAGTTTATTGAAAACTAAACATCACTTTGGATATGCATCCCTGACATCTCACAATCCAAACACAGACTCGTAGAATTTCTTATCAAAGGCATCCCACTGTAGTGGGGTGGTCTAAATTTAAACAGACCCCTGTCAGAGTCAGAAACAGAGAATGACATGAGGGTTGTTTCTCAATGTTTATAAATAACAAGCAGAGCGAGGAGCTTGTTGGAGGTTGGCAAGCAACTACAGCATTTTAGACTGAAGACGGACAGCCAGGCCTTCCGTTTTTAGGAATGACATGTGTACCAGCTGCTTCATTCCCATCTCCTCTTACCCTCTCATCCTTTCTTATTATCTTTCTCTTTTCAAAGTATAGAAATGTCCTTGTCTCTCTGCTTACCTCTCACCTTTTCATATTGAGTGTTGTGAAATTTTCTTTAGAGCATCAGATAAAAGAACATGAACCTATCACTTTTCAGTTAACCTGAAAGGATCACCAGATGACTTTCATTGAGCTATCTGGGTCAGATGGTTGTATGATCATCACTGAAACTTTCATCAAACTACTGCAAACCTGAAAATTACATCAGTCATTGATTCTTTCCCCTCAAGCATTTTCCTCTCTGTGCTGTAAATAGCTGTAAATGTTCTGTGGTTTTGTGTGTGCATGTCATAGCCCATGCAGGGCCAGCAGCTGCCGTGGTGTAATATAAGAGGTGACAGTCGTGTTAGTGCTTTATGACTGACATTATGTTGCAACACTCCTGAAATCATTTAAACATCTGCAGAAAACAACAGATCTGATCCAAATGATAGTAAACGTCACAAAAGCATGGCAGGCAACATATAACTTATGTATCTAATGTGTCATCAAGAAAGCAGTATAGCTCTTATTAAGACTTAATGCATCAAAATGCTCTATTTTATCATTCTAATATATATATATATATATATGTTCCGTATTCATTTACTTATGGTAAATCTTGCCATATTAGGAACCAGCTAGGAATAAAAAATATTCTGACTGGGGGAAAAAACACAACTGTGGAGATGGAAATAAGCACTGAAAAGTTTGAACAATATACTGAAATGGTGTACTACAAAAAGGTTGATTTTTTCAAACATTTTAGCCTTAGCAAAACAAAAAGTGGGCCATTCTATTTTTTTAAAAATGACACTGTTTATATAATCTAAAAACATAGTTGCCTTTTGCTGTCATATATTTGCTTTTCTAACATTTAGGATTTTAAGCATTGTATTGTCCATGTACATTTAAATCATATAATAATTGCTTTTTGATGCTGTTATTATTTTTCCTTTTTAAATGAGACTCTTCATATTTTGAACACCTGTTGATTACATTCAAGCAGCAGCCCTTTGTGTATCTGTCCCTGGTGAAAAAGGTTGTCATGGTAAATGGGCGGATTCACTTTGCACGACTGAGTCATCCATGCATTTACGCTTGATTGAAAACAACTCCATCTGATTTTGAGAACAATGATAAACCTTTGTGTTGTGGCACAGATTTTAAGGTGAGATGGGGGTGAGGGAGGGGGCAGGAAGGGAATGATGACAGTGTGAGGGTAATTTAAGCAGCACAGCCCCTGCCATTCTTCCTATGTTGCTTTAGAATATTTTTAGAAGAGATGTAAGCACATCTGTCTATCACAGTCCAATCATGCTTGTTTGTTTGTCTATGAGGGGTCTGCTTTGTTCTGGTTTTGCAAGCATAACAGAACAATCTCCTCTCTGAAACAATACACATTTTCAATGAGCTGATTACAAACAACCTAGGCAAAAGTAATAATTCTGCTTATGTATTTGCTGTGATCCGTAATAAACTATGTGGCTAAATATTTGAGTCTGGTAGTGTGCATGTATATTTAACTATAATAACTGGCAAATGGGAGGGGATTGCTGATATAAGAATAAACACAATCTCTAAGACATGCTGAATCCTATAATAAGAGTCAGATGTCATTGCAAATGTACATTACATCCTTTATAAAATTTAGTACCAAAACTGCATATAGTGTCCTGCAATATGCCATGCTTTATCTATCTATTAAATGTAAAATTAATTTTTTTTTAAATAAACTTAACATAGATAAGGTTTTCATGCACTTACTGTATATCAACAGAGAGACTACATGAAATATACTTTACCATTTCAATTTGGAATACAAAAATCTGCATGTTACTTGTAAACTACTCAGCTTGCTTATAATAAATTATAACCGTAGTCCGTGGCAATCCTTTTTGGAAACTCCCCTACGAGACCACATGCACCTGTCAATCAGCCTTATATCCTCCCACTGTAAAAGAGTAAGATGAGATCAAGTGTAAACCCATCCATGTTGACCATGATATTATAAAGCATATGATATTTATTGAACTCATACTTACTATATGTTAACTGTGTGTCTTTTCAGGTGGTGTGCACTGACACGGATCAATCACTCTCCTCCACTGTTAGTTTGGAAATGTAGTGCGTCTGTCTGTCCATATAGCTTCTTGGTTAATCAGTGCTCTTGTGATACAGTAAAAGTGTCACAGCTTCAAAATCATTCTATCAGTATAAACCTTTAAAGAAACAAAAAATACACAAAAAAATAATAAAATTTGAAGAAAAAAAAAGTGAATCTATTCAAGTGTTATTGGGTCATTGTGACTGTCGGCACAGAATCTATCAGTTAGAAAATCTGTTGACCTGACTGATAAAAAGCTGTAATCTAACCGGCCTACACATCTCAATGGCTCCCAAGAAGAAGTCACCACGCCCTAAGAAGTCCATTCCTGAACCAACAACAGTTGAGAGTGGAGTGGTTGTCCCAGAGCCCAGTGTTAAGAAGCTGGAGCTTCCTCTTAATGTTGAGCAGCTGAACCGGCTCAATGGGGTGCCCCTGCCACCCCCTGTGATTCGACCTGGAGAGAGAGGTTTTGGCCTGGGCAGTGAGCTCACCCGCCCCTTGCATGGATCCACTCTGCTGGAGGAGCTGAGCCGCATGAGACAAGAACGATTCCTCACTGATATGGAAATGGCCTGCAAAACCAAGGCATTTGATGTCCACAAGCTCGTAATTTCCTCAGTCAGCCAGTATCTACGTGAAGTCCTGGCCAAGGACCCTGGACTCAAACGACTGGAACTCCCTACCCTCTCACCTCTTGGTAAGCCTTAAAAGATATAATCTAGTTCAGAGGTTTTCACTTGTGCGGCTGGAGACCCACTGTCCTGCAGAGGTTAGCTCCAACTCTCATCAAGCACACATGAACCAACCATTCAGGACAATTCTGAATCTGATTCAGGATCAGAACCAACCAGGCAGGTGGGTTGGAGCAGGTTAGAACTAAAATCTGTAGGACAGTATGTCTCCTGGAGCAGGGTTGAAGACCTAGCTACATTTGTTAAAGTTCCCCAATATTTTGAGTGGCCCAAACAACTGGAATCATGTCTGACATTATGGCTAAGTCATACATATTAAAACACCATAACATATACTGTATGTATTATATTTATCCTCAGGACTTGCCAATGTGATTACGTTTGCTTACCTGGGCCGTGTGCACATGTCCCTATACACCATTGGCTGCACTGTGTCTGCAGCCAGCACCCTGCAAATCCCTCATCTTCTCCAGATGTGCATGGACTTCCTGATGTCCGAACTGAATGTGCACACTTGTGTGTATGTGTGGAACATCGGCGCTGCATATGGTTTGATGCCTGTTCGAGAGGCCGCCCGGCGCTACATTCTGGAGAATTTGACCCAGTTTTCTGAGACAACCCAATTCAACCAACTCACCCTGGAGCAGATCACATCTTTCCTGCAAGATGACAACCTATCTCTTCCTTCAGAGGTCATCACCTTTCAGGTCAGTGTAAGGAAAGTTTGATGGAAGGGCAAGAGGAATAGGGGTATCGCAAAAGCTAAGGAAGTCCTATTTATACAGTGACCCAAAAGCTAAACATGTCAGCAAACACAGCACATACTGTAAAAAGAGATATAGCTAGAGTCGTGACAAGGATATAAATATGTACACTATTTATAAAGTAGACTGAATTAGATACTAAACTTGGACCACTCATTTTAAATTTTCTTGGAACCTAGATTGCAATGAAGTGGATAGACTTTGACCCAAAGAGGCAGGAACATGCTGCAGAACTGCTGTCTCACGTGCGCTTTGAGACCATCCCTGCGAGTAAGCTGGTTAGTGAGATCCAGCCAGTGGCACGCATGATGCTAGATCCTCAGTGTCACCGTCTTCTGGTGGATGCCATGAACTACCATTTGCTGCCCTACCAGCAGAACACACTGCAATCACGGCACACAAAGGTCCGTGGAAGCCAGAATGCTCTTCTAACCATTGGGGGTCGTCCTTCACTAACTGAGCGTGCCCTAAGTCGAGAGGTACAAACTTTTGGACAAAGTCCATGACATGTAATACTCTTGATATCATTGGTTTCCAGTTCTACTCCTGGAAGAGCACCTTTTAGCAGTTTACCTCTGTCCTGCTCCAACACACCAGCCTAGAAGCTTCTAGTAATCCTGAATACCTTGGCTAAGGTGTTTCTGGTTTAAATAGGGTTGGAGTCAAACTCTGCAAGACTAAACTCCCTGCTCTGTCCACATAAGGAAATAAATTTTTTATTTCCTTTGATTGCTCACTTGTTTTACTGTGCAAAGGTGCTTTGGAGAGATCCACGAGAGGGAACAGCTACATGGCGTCATCTTACTCAGCTGCCAGCCAAGAGTTTCAACCAGTGTGTGGCTGTGATGGATGGATTCCTGTATGTGGCAGGAGGAGAAGATCAGAATGATGCCCGAAACCAGGCTAAACATGCTGTTGGCACCCTTAGCAGGTATGTTATCACAAATAATTTAGTCATCAGTAGACCCTATCAATCAGTCTAAAACTGTGGTGGTCCAATCTTGCTCCTGGGGTCCCACCTTCCTGTAGAGGTTAGTCCAAAACCTGATTAACCACAACTGAACTAGCTAATCAAGCGGGCTTTAGTATTACTAGGTACTTCCAGGTAGGTTACCGCTCTGCAAGAAGGTAGCCCTCCAGGAACAGGATTGGACACCCTTAGTCTAAAATCGAATACACAGATTTGACCGCATTACCTTCTGATCCTCAGATACGATCCTCGCTTCAACACTTGGCTACATCTTACCAGCATGCGCCAACGACGTACCCATTTCAGTTTGGTGGCCACTGGTAGGCGGCTGTATGCCATTGGTGGCCGCAACACTGATGGCCTCTTGGCCACCATTGAGAGCTACCAGCCCTCTACCAACACTTGGCAGCTCCGTACACCAATGGATATGCCACGATGCTGCCATGCCAGTGCTGTCCTTCCATCGGGAGACATCTTGGTGACTGGTGGGTATGTTAACTGCGCTTACTCTCGCTCTGTAATTCATTATAGCATTGACAGCGACACTTGGAGCGAGCAGGGAGAATTGGAAACACCTCGTGGCTGGCACTGCTCTGCAACAGTAGGTGGCAAGGTGTACGTGGTAGGAGGTAGCCAGCTTGGTCCTGGTGGAGTCCGCATTGATGTGATGACCATGGAGGTCTTCAACCCTGAGAGCAAGGAGTGGACCAGAGCTGCTACCCTGCCCCTGGGAGTGAGCACAGCTGGTATGTCTCCACTGGGAAATCACCTGTACCTGCTAGGTGGATGGAATGAAGCAGAAAAACGTTACAAGTCAGCAGTCCAACGCTATGACCCAGGCACTGACAACTGGTCAGCAGTGGAAGACCTGCCAGAACCCATAGTGGGAGTGTCCTGTTGTGCCCTTCCCTTGCCCCCACGCCACACGACCCGCAGACACCGGCACACACCTTCCCATGAAGATCAGAGCAGTGTGACACAGCATAACACTGCATGAGAAAGAAAAGCTGGGGAAAGACAGAGCAAGAAAGAGACAGGGTGAAAGGAGAGTAGAGAAAGGAGAGGAGAGAGTGCAGAAAAAGACAGCAAGAGAGAGAGTGAGGTGAAATAGAAATTGAGTAGAATGTAAAGAATAACAACATGAAGGGAAAAGCAAAGTAGTCTTTGTTTTTAAGTCTTGTTCTTAAAACTCCAAAGCTGCATTAGGTATACAGCGAGTTCAAAGAAAAGGTACTACCTAGGGCCCACTTATAAAGAATGTGAAAGGTACATTTCACAAGAGCCTCTGCAGTGTGAGGAATTTAGTGAGGTATCTGCTTATGAGTTTCTGTGAATGAGTTTTAGAAATTGAGCCATACAGTTCTATTGAAAATACTATAATGGGATTATCACCATTTTAATTCAGTAGTACTGAATTAAGTCGTATCAGTTTATTTATTTCTCAAAATTTTTTTTAAATCAAGTTTATCAGTTTTCTCTCTTAATAACCAAACCCAATAACTGCAAAAATTTTCAGTGGTACATGCAGAGGTACAACGCAAAAGTCAATACGCCCTTCAGACACACAGTTAAGCACCAAACCATTGATACTGCCCACCAAAGAATGTGCTTAATACCACACATATTAACCAACATGATTCATAGACTAGCTATGAATTGAATGCTTACCATATTTACTGTTTTAATCCATTTATGTATTTAAGTTACATTTAAGGGTCTTTACTCTCCTATGTAGAGATCAAAACAACTACCTATAATTGTATAATGATAAAACAAAATTATCTAAAAGAACCAGTAAAATACCAAACAAAATTGTCAACAATTGAATACATGACCAAATGGAAATTAATGCATAAGATGGAAAATGTAGATTAGAGAGCCTGGAGTATATCTGGTACTAAATCTCTGGAATTTCACTGAATAAACTTCAAGAAAAAAAAACTAGTCTCTTCTTTCCTTTCATACTAATCACCACCCAGCCCTCAACTGTCAGAAACTACTGTCTTTTAAATGAAATGTACTTCAAAATGCATTTAACACTACCACATAAGTGTCTAGATTTTAAAAAGTGACACCCAAGAGGACATCAAAAAGCTGGCGAAAAGCACTTCCTAAAATTTGTACCACCTAAACAAATATAGCCATTTCAGTTTTAAAGGGGTCATATGATTAAAATTTTTCCTTTCTCTTTGAAGTGTTACAAGCCCTTGGTGCATAAAGAAGAGCTGTAAAGTTGCAAAGACTAAAGTCTCAAATCCAAAGAGATATTCTTTATAAAAGTTAAGAGTCAGCCACATCTACCTAAAACAGCTCGTTCTAACACACCCCCACGTCTACCTCACTATGTGGAAATATTAGCATAATGCCACCCAAATGTGCACGCAAAGAAAGGCGGCGTGGTTTCAGGAACAGCAGTAGTGTTGATGCAGCCATGTCAGGGAGACGCTGTGTTATTCAATGCGAAAGCTCTTTATTTGGCCTTCCGGAAGTAGACGCAATTAGGAATCATTGGTTAAGATTTATTTACAACAGAACAGCACAATGCAGATGTTCAAATTTGTGCAACACATAAAAAAAAAAAAGGGTCAATTCAGACTTTGCGATGACAATCTGGCACTTCTGAATCAGCGACTCAGCTTCTGTTTTGTTATTAGTTTAAGCATTTGCTATTGACTGTTCAAATGCGGAGTTTTGCCCAGCACAGAGTAACACGTCGAGTGTGTGTGTGTGAGGGGAACAGGGTCACATCACAGGAGAGTGAACTGCCTGTCAGAAATCATAACACGTCAGCTGTCTTAACCACGGCTTGTGTGGTTCTACCCTGTCGAGCTTGAACTGATGGTAAAACTAATGACATTAACGGTCTTGATATTTACTTTGAAAGCTGACGCTATGACGCTTTTATGGTAAGGGGCGTTACATTTCCGACACGTGCTTGTGTTCGGCCAATCACAATGCACTGTGTCAGCTGGCCAATCAGAGCAGACTGCGCTTGTCAAAGGAGGGGACTTTGTTGAAAACGACAAGTTTGAGAGAGGCGGGGCATAGAGGACCTACAATAATGTATGTTTTTTGGACATTAAAGCATGTCAACATTCTGTTACACCAAATAATGATCTTTAAAATAGCATCATATGACCCCTTTAAAATAACTTACTAAAAAGCTCAACAAAAAAGTAATTTCATATACTTCATTAATAACGGTCACATGCCACACTAATACAAACCATGTGAAGTGAGCAACAACAGTGTTATACTTCACAAATAAAGACATCGACAGCATAATATTTGGGCTTTTCTTTTATTTGTTTGTTACAAATTGGGGGGGGGAAAGGTGGTCCTTTACTTGCCAGGGAGGATGATGCCATCATACTGAAAGAAAAAGAAAAAAAAAGCTTAAGCAAATTCTGGAATATAGAGAACAATTTTCGTACATTTGCTTAAATAGACTGTTTGGAAACTGAATCAACATAGGCATCAACTATTTAAACACCTTCTGTTGGAACCAGCGCATTGCCTCCTCTTTGCAGATACGGTGCTTGGCACCGATGCGGCCCTGCTTCCTCTTTTTGTCAGCAATGCTGAAACCAGGTCTACCAAGAACCTACAATAAACAGAGAATTACGACTGCTTATTCATAGTTGCCCAAATAACCATGAAATTAGAGGTTAAGGTTAAAAGATGTGATTGCTTTCATCTGTACTGCACCACAACCGACACACATTAGTAAAACAGCTGTTATAATATGGATGATTCTGGACTTATTGGCTGAGCTGCTTTTGAAGCCATTGTAAGATACTGTATATACAGTCAACTGTGAACTTAAATCTGTGTTGCTCGAGAACCATTCTGCCACACACCGGTGAAGAACTATATGGACCCTTTTCACAGATTGTGATGACATGTTTTAGCAGTCATCAACACTGCAAAATGTTTTTTTTTTATGTCAATTTATAACATTTATAACCCTTTTCTTTGCATTATATTAGATTTGCATCAAATTACAAAAAATTAGTTACCACATCTGTGAAGGTGTTTCTTATAAACTGTCTATGGGAGTAAATTTAAATTTGACAGTTTTCTCCTCTGACTGTCTCGGTTTTCCCCTCTTTTTGACAGTCTTGAAAACACTCATGTTTTCAGTGGAAAAGACTATGTCGAGTTTCTTTTGCTATTTGAGCAAACGGCGACGCAAAATATTTGATGTAGCCTTTAAATTAACCACTAATAAATGACTAAATTTGTGTTACCGTTTTTAGTACTCTGTTCCACGTTAGCGGTTCTAAAATCACTGCACATCAGTTTCTTAAGGCTTACTGCTTTAATTCAGTTTCAGACAGCCTAAAGCTTATCAGGAAGGGAAAAGTCCTTACCACCTACAGTACAGTTGGTATTAAAAATAGATACTCATATGAGCAAGTGTAGTGGCAGAACAATATCACTTAAAATAAAACTCCTTAACCAACAGGAAATAAACCACAACGATGTAAATAGATACATAAATGTGACCCTTTTGGATCAATAAAATGCAACTCACCACATAAAAGTCCAAGCCGTAGATTCCAATGCTTGGGTCGTACTTGATGCCCAAATCAATGTGTTCCTGGATACCAAAGCCGAAGTTTCCTGTGTCTGAGAAGTTGTTCTTTCTCAACTCGTACTCACGCACCTACACACACCCAAAAAAAAAAAGAAAAGTAAAATAAACAACTGCTTACAAACAATAAACCATACAGCATCCATAAACAAAACATGACATTTAAAGAACCCACTATGCATGCACTAAGAGTGAGGTACAGCCCTGGCTAATTTTAGCACAACAAATACCAAGTAGCCCATTCCCATTAACAACACATTCCTCTCACCTTCAGTCCCTTCTCCAGGATTTCCTCAGCCTTGGCTCCACGGACAGTGCAGTGGACTGCAATCTTTTCATTTCTACGGATACCGAAGGATCGCACAGTGTAGCGGGCTGGTGGGAGATATTTAGACAATGCATGGCACAACTTTACAAACACCAATGAATATAAAACCACATTCATAAGATATAGCAGAGTGCAATCATCTTCAACCACTAGCAAGAGATGGAAAGTCCACCTACCCTTGGAGAAGACAGGAGTCTGGCCTGTCAGCTGTTCCAGCACCTTAGCAGCACGGGTCAGTCTGTCACCACTCTCACCCACACAGATGTTCAGGCACAGCTTGCGGATGCGCAGCTCCCTCATGGGGTTCTCCTTCTTCTCACCCTGGTCCTGTACAATGACACACAGCCAAATAATTAGCGGTCATGAAACCGATTTCTTCACAAACCTCACCAGCGCCCACAATTTCATGCTGAAGATGTAACCAAAATAACAACCATAGCTCTTCAAAATGAGGTGCTGAACAAGAGACAAACTCAAACGAACCAATAGCTATTACATTATGGCCATGGGTCCGAGATAAACATGCCCGGACATATCCACCATTTGGAAAGCTACTAGTATGGCAATATCAGCCAACAAACTATCAATATTTCACATTACATACACCGGAGCTGCCGGTTATTGAACCGGACGAGTATTGGAAACACATAAGTAGCTTTAAGCTAGTCAACGACGTGCGGTCTCGGCTCTACCGCACACTCTAAAGCTAACGCCAATATCCGCCGCATCGAATCATTCTGGCCACAAATACTGTCATCGATCTGTATTTCACAGCGGCAGCGACTGATAACAGTATGCTTCACGTGATTACTGCATGCAGACAAGCAGATGTTTGTTGATTTTAATTATACTTTTTCATGATCACAATTTCTCACGTACTCACCGCCATGTTTGATCACTCAGAAGAGAACGATACACTTCCGGCGCAGAGAATTTATGCAGCGTTTTGAGTCCACAGAACTACACAGCCCAGCATGCTTTGCGCTGCGGGGCGAACTTCGGGTAATCTTTAAAGACTCCAAAATTGAAGTCGAAGACCAGATTTAATAAATGAGACACTTACACGTATATAAGGGAATATAAGTTGGTGAAGGGAAAATAGTTTTCAGTATTAGGAAAGCCTATTAGCCTATATCACTCGACTCAGAATAGGAAATTCTGTTTTAAATCATGTTCATAATAGGGAAACACTAAACAGGATTATGTAGCCTAATCATTTGGTCTAGCACAGTGGTTCTCAAACCGCTCCATGCAGTACCCCCAGCACTGCACATTTTGTATGTCTCCCCATATCTGACACACCCACTTCAGGTCTTGCAGTCTCCACTAATAAGCTGATGAGTTGAATCAGGTGTGATAGATGAGGGAGACATACAAAATCTGCAGGGCAAGGGGGTACTCCAGGACAGGTTTGAGACCCACTGGTCTAGCAGAAACTGTTCAGCATGTATTGCATGGCTTATATCAGGGAAAGAGAATAGTTTAATAGAAATTCAGAAATAACCTATACCAGGGGTGGCGAACGTCGGTCCTGGAGAGCCACAGCCCTGCAGAGTTTTGCTTCAACCCTAATCAAACACACCTGAACAAGCTAATCAAGGTCTGAAGGGTTACAAGAAGGTGAGTTATAATTAGGGTTGGAGCTGTACTCTGTAGGGCTGCTGCTCTTCAGGACCGGAGTTCGCCACTGCTGGCCTATACGTTTAATCAATTTCACTCTTATTAAATCCATCAGGTTGTCGTCAAAAATACAAAGTTAAATACTTACATTCTTACTCAGAATAACAAATGATATACTGAAAAAAAAATTGTGTAGAAACAATTTCCACTCAGAAATTGCTAGACAATTTCACCAAAAATGACAAAGAAATGACAAGTAACATTGAATTAAAGATAACATTTTGAAGAAGAAAACACTGAAATAGTATTTTCTTGTAAAACTTACTCATCCAATTTGTTTTTGTTTTTTTACATCTTCTAAAAATAATTTTGAACTAGAAGAAGAAAACTGCAGTTTTAGTTTTTTAGTCCATCCCTGCTGCACAGAAAAAAAGCAGCTAATTTTGTTGCACTTTTATGTATCTTGGTAAATACATGTGACAAATACCATTAAAGCAAACATTTGGAATGCATGACTGTCCTGCAAAGTTGGCCTTTTCACATCTACTCTGACTAAGGTCCAGAGAGGACTGTGTCTTTTAGGTCATATACCTTAGTCAAGCTAGACACTGTATTGAATTTAATGTGGATGAAAACAAATAGATTAACAGTCTTTACAGTGGAACGCACTGTATTGATGTCCTACATCTTATTACCTCAACTCAAATGTTTCAAAATTGTTTGATGAAATTTTTGTCCAATAATTTTTTTTCAGAAAGACATTTAGTCAGCTGAACAACCAATATGTTGTTAAAGAACAACACACTCTGTTGAACAGACTCTACTTATCCCTTGTTTTCATTCCTGTCACAAAGGAAATATGGCACTACTCTGACTAAGGTCTAAATTTCTAATTTGGTCCTTAACACAGCAAAATATACATGTATGAAATCAGACTTCATATCCAGTTCATATATGCTGTCTTTTCTTGGATTTAATGAAAAGTTTATAATATTACTGTATTTAAGTACTATAAGTAGGCCTACTACAAAACTATAGGCTACTAAAATAATAAAGGAAGCATACACTGTGTATCCCCTGTGAAAAAAAAAGTAACTAATGTTTTCTCCAATTTTATTTATCAGAATATGGTCATTTTGCTGTACATTTCTGATAAAACACACAGAAGATAATTTAAGCATATGACATAACTGGTTGACCTTTTGCATAATTTTCATTAGAAATGTATTTTAAAATAATTTTATATTGCACATTGATTATCTCTCCATATTTGGAGAGGATTAAATCATTCATCATTCACTTTTGAAACACACATCCGATTCCTACACACACAATAACAACCAATAAGCATACATATACATGCTTAAAAGAACGCTCAGAGGCAACAATACTGGCTGTGCCACTGATTGGGTGAATCACAGCATCAGTGTCAGGAAGAAGAACAGGGGTAGGACTTGGTGCCTTCAAAACAGGGAGCCCCAATTCTCTTTGCTCCCTCAGAACATTGGTCAGAAATAAAAGAGCTCGCTTGGGAAATGCAGGTGGGGAGAAAAGATTATGTTCGCGGACGAAGAAGTGGGGTAGTGAACCATTCAGTGCACATCGCTCAAAGTATCCAAAGAGCTTCATAAAGGAGACGGACAGCTGGCCTGGAGACCAAAACGAATCTTGCACTCTGTCTGAAAGGACATGGAAGAAGGTTGTTTTCCCATGGTAGGAACACAGAGGCTCAAGCTCTTTGGGATACTGCTGCTTCAGTCCCTCAATCAGACACTTCAGAAGCCGCAAACAAAGTTTCCTATAAGAAAGAAGAGAAAATCTTAGGGGCATCATAACATTAATCGATAACATAACCAGCTATAAAAATGAGTGTTCGTTCATACCGACAACACTTATTGGAATGACTCTCACAACACGTCTTCTTATTGCCATGATGCTGCATCATCTCTTTTTCAATGTGAGAGAAGGATATTCGCCAGCCCTCTGAAAACGAATACCTCAAATATATAAATGCTTTACGCTAAGGAAAGAAATAAATGTTTTTGTAATGACTGAATATGTATTGTGCCAGCATACCTTTGGCATCATCTTTGAGGTTTCTTCCTTTTGGTCTCTTTGGGACGAAATACACAGCCTTACTTACAAACTGGCGGCGACATTTTTTTCCAAGCCATTTGTCTATATTAAGACCTGCCCGTGCTGCTTGTGGCCAACCTTGTGGCACCTCAAGAGTGGGTACGATGTCCACAGACATCACATCATCGTCTTTCTCTTTCGCCTTAAATTCAAGGGTCACGGCCGGTGAATTTACTAGATTTCTGCGTATCACCCAACCTTCACCTGTGAACGGGTGGCAGAACCACAAACAATTTCAAGGTTATACACTACCTTTCTAAAATTTGGGGTCAAAATGTTTTATATTTTTTCTTGAGCAGCAAATCAGCATATTAGAATGATTTCTGAGGGATCATGTGACAATAAAGACTGGTGAAATGGCTGCTGAAAATTCATTCAATTCTTTTTACTTTATTTTTGAATCAAATATATGCATCAAATGCTTTTCAAAATCATAAAGAATTTTGGAATTGTAGTGTATAAAAAGATATCTGAACATGACGTGGTGTTGAGAAACAGATCAGTAAAACACACCTTGAAAATGGTTGCTAATGAATTTGCGGACCAAGCGGTACATTTCTGCTTTGATTTTGGTTGCTGAGACGGTTCGTTCATCTTCCAGAAGAAAGTGCTGGATTTCAGTTCGTGTGGCTTTGATAAGTTTTATCTTATAAAACAGTCCTTGATATTCTTCCAGTTCTGACAGTACAAGCCTAGGGACTTTCAGTTTCAGCATAATGTCAAACTCATTGGGTTTGTTGATCTGTTGGTGATAAAATTATTCCATTATTCCAAACATTCATGAATAATTTGAGTCAATCTTTGTTCTTCAAGATGTGGAGGATTATTGCACTATCGTTCAGAAGTTTGAGGTTGGCAAGATTTTTTAAATGATTTTGAAAGAAGTCTTCAGTGTCACATGATCCTTCAGAAATAAGTGTAATATGCTGAGTTGCTGCTCAAGAAACTTTTAATTGTTGAAAACAGTTTTGCTGTTGTCGTTTTTTGTGAAAACCATGATAGATTTTTTCAAGGTTCTTTGAAGGATTAAAAAGGTCAGCAGAACAGTGTTTATTTGAAATAGCTGAACATTTTAAAATCATTTGAACACTGAATAATTTGTAACATAATTGACTTTACTGTCACTTCTGCTCAATTTAGTGTATATTAAATATCTGATACAAACTTGAGCAACTCTTTCGATTTGACACTAGCTGATTTTTCTCAAAATGATTCACATTTTTTACCTTCACCATCTCATAATAGCTCCCACTGGTGAGAACTGAGACCTCCCTGAAGAAGGGCTGATCATCATTATTCTTCAGGAATTCCAGCAAGCTGTCGATTAGATGGTTTACTATCTTCACAGCATTCTGCTGGTCAAGCTTACGCAGCCGTAGGTCTCGACCTCGCTGTCTGATCAAGCGGTCCAGCTCGGGCGAAATGGAAGAATCATCTCCAACTTTATGATAACAGAACAAGTATAAGCAAGTATACATAGATACAAACAATAACTCAAAAGAGCAACCTGGTAAAGATTCTCCACATTACATGATCTCCTCTGGCTTTCCATAATAGAGCTGTGAAAAACCCAAGTTCAGATATACAGTGCTCTTCAGATCCTCTGTCGTGATGCTCAATCCAGCCTAAAATTTGAATGCAGTATAAATGCAAATTAATTATGTATGGAAATGTGCTAGGGTTTCTCCATGGATAAAACAATAAGAATAGGTAAAAATCATAAACATAGAGAGTAATTGACTAGCAACAGCTGACATATTTGTTTTACAGACAATTGTGCAACGCCTGTGAGCTTTACACCCTGTTTTATGGCTTTCATACATTTTAAAGAGTATAAACGTAAATGGAACGCCAAAGTTTAAAAAGGGAATAGAAAATAAAAGCAATTCTAAACTGATCAAAACGTCAGGGATGTTTTGATGTATTTATATATGTATTTTGCAACAAAAACTGAAAAATGGCACAGCATTTACTAAACCTTACAGGACAGTTAAAGCTTGGTTACTTTGTGACACTAAATTTAAAATACTCTACACTTTTTTTACATTTTCACAAGCATACTATTTAATGATACGCATGAATCCAGACTTACCCACTTCCTGGTCTAGAGAATAAGATCTAGTGACACAGAAATACAGCACAAGAGTATATTGATTCTAAGCTCCTCCCTGCCACATCAGATGATATTTTGCTTTACAGTTAAAGGTTCAGGGTGTGGCTTTGTTCTGGTAATGTAAAACCGAAACTTAAGGAACACGTAGTTGATGTTTACATGCTAGATTCTTGTGTGACAGCAGGTGTCACTCAGGTGGCGTGTGTACAGATGTACTTTATCAGCTGAAAGCAATGTCCAAATGTACAAAGGCCTTTGTAATGTGCTGACCGAAGTGTCAATGGTTAACCCTTAGTAGTTTTAAAAGAATTTTTCTATGGATTGCACACAATTTAAATACATTTGTATTGTATTGTTTCATGCAAATTTCTTTTGGCTAATGAAAATTTAAGTGATACAACAGACTGTTAAATTAAAACAGCTGACTGAATTTTACTAAACAATAGTATAAATAAATGTTTTTTTAACAATATGAACAATATGAGATTGAACACTATGATAGAACACTATCTTTTAGCCTAAAAGTGCAGTATGTGTACATAACAGTGCTATTTATATTATTTTATAAAATGTATTATTTATTTATATTATTTGTATACAGTACTATTATAGTATTTAACATTTTCAATTAGCTTTTATTTTTAGTATTCATTTTAATTATTTTGCTTTCATTTTTGTTTCCGTTATAATTTTTAAAAAAGTAGTTCAGCTTAAACTTATTTTAAGTTAATTGCCAAGGATTTATTTTTATATTTATTTTTTAAGTTTTAAATCTAAAATTTGTATTTTATTTTCTTTCAGCTTTATTTCTATTAGTGTTTGTTTTAGTTAACTGTAATAACACTGAAAGATTCACGATTCAAATGTTTAAAAAAATAATCTTAATTATATTTATCATGTTCAAAAGAATTTATTTATGAATGCACTTACAACAAAACCCATTCATAATGCTTTGACCTCTGACAATAAAGAATAATGGCACAAACTGATGAATAATCATTGTTTATTTTTATAATCATTTTCTCCTAAGGTGTTCAGAAATACATGGTTTCCACCTTTCCTTCTGAAGCTTTTACGGTGGGTTTTTATCAGCATAAGCCAGTCCTTTAAAACCGTGCTCAGGTTCTGAGACATTGCAGTGTAGGATATCAGTGAGGCTTGCTGGGTGTCTGACGGGACGATTCATTTAACTTTGGCAGCCTTCTGAGCAGACTTGGTCACCTTTGCACTAGTGGAGGCTTTCTTGTCAACGGCCTTGATGACACCAACAGCGACGGTCTGCCTCATGTCACGCACAGCAAAACGACCTGGAAAGTAGTAGTGGGAAAGTAAGGAGTTCCAATTAAAGCAGAACGTTTGATTAATGTCCAATATATAATGTTCATGGCAACATAAATGATGACACTTACCCAGTGGTGGGTACTGAGAGAAGCTCTCCACACACATGGGTTTGCCAGGGACCATAATAATAATGGCAGCATCTCCAGATTTGAGAGCCTTGGGGTTGTCCTCAAGCTTCTTGCCAGAACGACGGTCGATCTTCTCCTTGAGCTCAGAAAACTTGCAGGCAATGTGAGCAGTGTGGCAGTCCAGCACTGGGGCATAGCCCTGAGAGATCTGACCAGGGTGGTTCAGGATGATGACCTGCGAGAAAGAGGGGTACATGATAAAGCACCCGACATTATGAAGATCATGCAGATAATATTCTATTATTTATATCTAACCTGAGCTGTGAAGCTGCCAGCCTCCTGAGGGGGGTCGTTCTTGCTGTCTCCAGCCACATTACCACGGCGGATGTCCTTGACAGACACGTTCTTAACGTTGAAGCCAACGTTGTCACCGGGGAGAGCCTCGACAAGAGACTCGTGGTGCATCTCAACGGACTTGACCTCAGTGGTCAAGTTGGCAGGGGCAAAGGTCACAACCATACCAGCCTTCAGAGTTCCAGTCTCAACACGTCCAACAGGCACAGTTCCAATACCTGAGGGAAACACACAGAAAATGTTTGAATGAGTGACAGACGCTGGTTGAGTTTGGAGGCTGTGTTGTTATTTTTAATGAAAACTAAAACTAAAAGCAAACACCTTCGTTCAGTGAAATGAAAATAAAAACTAACTGGGAAACACTGAGACAAAATTTATATTTATTACTTCAAAACTAACTAATCCGCAAAATCTTTTTTTTTTTTTTTTTCCTTTTCTTCACGGTATACTATAAAATTTGAAACCTTTGAAAACTGTCTGCATTAAACATGAAAATGCTGTTTGTAATTTACTGGATAAGGATTAAACATGAGGATTTAAAAAAAAAAAGTTCAAATATGCCCATGGCGTTTTAAGATTTTATTCATTTACATGACTTTCCCAGATCTAGAAATCCCTTCCTCATATTTACAGGTATCCAAAAATTTTTTAAGAAAAAACAGTTGTTGAGGGACCAAATGAAGAAAGAAATATCTTGATTTTTGATTAGTGTAGCTTATGAAGCTTTTTAATGCTTGTGTTGTCTTATTTTAAAGTCTCTTTAAAATAAGACGCCTCTTGGAAGTTTTCTTTGGACCCATTTGAGAATTGCTGCAATAACACTAGACTATACTAAGAAAATGAAAGCATTTTTTAATTATACCAGTTGGCGCATTAACTATGGCAGCCCTAAAATACTAAAACTGATGTAATAACAAAAAGCAAAACTAGAAAACAAACTAAAACGAGAAAACTACAAATTCAACACCAAAGACAAATAAAAACACTTAAATATATTTTAAAAATTTAATTCGAATCTATAATAACCCTGGTTGGTGGTTAATGCTTACCTCCAATCTTATACACATCCTGCAGAGGCAAACGGAGAGGCTTGTCGGTGGGCCGACTGGGTGGCAGGATGGAGTCCAGGGCCTCGAGAAGAGTAACACCGCTGGCAGCACCTTCCTTCCTCTCAATCTTCCATCCTTTGAACCAGCTCATCTATTATTCATAAAGAAAATAAAAACCAAAAAGCATGAACAATCGCAGTGATCACAAACCCTAACGAAACCCTTCCAACCCAGGAAAAAGCAGCAGATGCTCACGTTTGTGCTGGGCTCCAGCATGTTGTCACCATGCCATCCAGAAATTGGGACGAAGGCAACAGTGGCAGGGTTGTAGCCGATCTTCTTGATGTAGGCGCTGACTTCCTTGGTGATCTCCTCATAACGCTTCTGGCTGTAGGGGGGCTCGGTGGAGTCCATCTTGTTGACTCCAACAATAAGCTGTTTGACTCCCAGAGTGTAGGCAAGCAGGGCATGCTCACGGGTCTGTCCGTTCTTGGAGATACCAGCCTCGAACTCACCAACACCGGCAGCGACAATCAACACGGCACAGTCAGCCTGGAAGGAAGAATTAATAAAATCACAACATTTAAACAATAATAATAATGCAACAATAAAACCATTACACACAGACACCGTAATCTGTGATAGATTTGTTGACATTAAAAAAACCTACCTGAGAAGTACCAGTGATCATGTTCTTGATGAAATCTCTGTGCCCAGGGGCATCAATGATGGTGACGTAGTACTTGCTGGTCTCAAATTTCCAGAGAGAAATGTCAATGGTGATGCCACGCTCACGCTCGGCCTTCAGTTTGTCCAGCACCCAGGCGTACTTGAAGGAGCCCTTGCCCATCTTGATGCAGAAAGAATATTCAGAAGCATATTTGAGATGTTTGTGAGACCGAATGGACAAAAGAATAATATAAATAAAAGATAGACGGAAGGAAATACCTTCTAGAAGACTAACATCTTTTCAAACATAACATCTATAAGTGATGTATTAATGTGACTGTTTTAATTATAATTCTCTATATTTAATTAATGATTATATTCTAAAAAAAATTGCAAGCATATGCTCAGTTTGGACATTTTGACCTGACTGAGCCCAGTAAAACTAAACTGTAGATGTCGCTCACAACACATGCCGTTTAAAAAGACACGCCCAGAATATACTTGTCATCGAGACATTAGTCATCGGAAGTCACCCGGCTGTGATGACGTACCTCAGCGGCTTCTTTCTCAAACTTCTCTATGGTTCTCTTATCGATGCCTCCACATTTGTAGATGAGATGTCCGGTGGTGGTGGACTTGCCGGAATCCACGTGGCCGATAACCACGATGTTAATATGAGTCTTTTCCTTACCCATGTTGTAAATCTACTGTGGAAAGACATTGCTGGGTTTAGTTTAGCCGGCATAAACATTATCCGGGCATTACACATTAGCGTTCAAGGAATTCTGGAAATAAATTCGCATATAAGCGATCAAACGGGATTAAGGGAGGCGGGGAAATCTCTTCGTCAACGCGCAGCACCTGCGGTGCTGCCATGGCCGCCTGTTATAATAGATATATTATAATATAACGAGATTTATAAAGTCGTGGGCTGATATAGTCGAATGGTGTGATGTATGTGTGGGCGGGGGGGGGGGGGGCGGCTTGCAAGAGCTCGGTTCACATAGCATAAATTGAGTTACCATTAGTCGCAGCTGTTGAAATTCTTACGTACTGTTTGAGACTAACAACGGTTTCCTTAATGCGTTTGTTTTCTGGGAATTAGAAAACCCCCCTTATTTACATTAAATGGCTAGTTTCATTTTTTTCAGACCAGCTTTTTGCAAGATCTGGCAACACCCACCCCTCCCACCGTTCACTTCGTGTCCTCCATGTTGAAGGACTGGAATGACAGCACCAGCCATGTTCTCTCCAGCTTTGCCAACAAGTTTGTGCCCTCTACAAGCGTGTCAGTGAAAACGAGGTAGAGAAAAAGAAACCTGGAATTAAAACGAACCTGGTCTGAATCCGCTACCCTGAAAGTACACAAAAAATCTAATTAAAAAAAAAAAAACCTTGTGACTCTAAATGCCTTTAAGGGCTTTTCCTTATAACAGCCTATCAACTTTTTAGGATCAAGACTGAATAAGATGAGGCAGTAATAAACTTACCCGACTACAAGCACTAGACAACCCCGAGAAGACTGGAAAAAGGAACGAGTCA